CACTCCTTAATCCATCCTCTCCATTTAATCCCGAATCCTAACCTATCCATCATCCAATCCAAGAATGACCAATCCACACAATCGTATGCCTTTTCAAAATCTTCCCTGAAAATAAAAGCTTGTTGCTTCCTCTTTTTAGCTTCATCAACCACTTCATTTAAAATCAAAACAGATTGGGTTTCAGTAATAATCTCAGGCATCACAGTCTTTGTTCTGTTAGCTAACACCTTTGCTAACAATTTATATACACACCCAATCAAAGTAATAGGTCTATAATCTTTCAACTCCATCAGATTAAGCTTCTTAGGAATTAACGTTAAAAAAGAAGAGTTTAACCCTCTTACTAACCTGCCACGCTGATGAAACTCCTCAAAGAAGTTGACAAAATCCTCCTTCAAACTGCTCTAGACAAATTTGATGAAATTGAAATTGAACCATCTGGCCCTGGTGCTTTATTCCCTTCACAACTCTTCAACCCTTCTTCAATCTCCTCTATTGAGAATGGCCTTTCTAACCACTCTTGCTGCTCCTTAGTAATTTGTTTGAAAGTAACACCATCTGGCTTAGGTCTACTCTATGATTCTTCTTGAAACAATTCCCTAAAATATTTTACTACTAGTTTTTTCACCAACTTTGGTTCCTCCACCCACCTACCATCACAAAAAAGACTTGTAATACCATTGTGGGCCTTTTTACCATTTGCCACTTTATGAAAGTATCTTGTATTAGCATCACCCACTTTCACCCAATTGCTCCTAGCCTTTTGCCTCCAGATGTTCTCTCTTTTTCTTATAATCTCCCATAACTCCTAGAAAGCTTCCTGTCATTGAGCCACCTCAAATCCCTCTAATACATACTCTTCATTCCTCATATCAACATGCTCCACCTTTTGTATAGCATTATCAAACTGCATTTCCATATCCCCAAACACACCTTTGTTTCAGCTTTTTAAAAACTCCTTAAGCAATTTTAGCTTTTGTTTACATTTAAAACTTGCAAAACCCTCCACCTTCAAGGTTGCCCATTTTTCCTCAACGGCCTTCTTAAAATCTTAATGTTGTTGCCAGACATCCAATACTCTAAATGGCTTTGGGCCCTAGTCTACTGTTCTGGATTTCAAGATAATAGGACAATGATCTGATATAGTTCTTTTTAACCCATGTTGTACCCATTCCCCACTCATGTTACACATTTTCGTAAACATTAAAAATCTATCCAATCTACTCATGGATGTCCCATCTGGTCTATACCATGTAAAACATCGATTCACCAATCGAATATCAACCAAACCCATTGTCTCGATAAAATCATTAAATTCTCTCCCATCTCTGCTTTCTCCCCTGTCCTTCCCTATTTTTCTTCGAGACTCCTCACAGCATTAAAATCACCCACAACCAACCAACATCCTCCCACTTCCACAATCAGCTGCTTCAGTTCATCCCGTAATTGTATTTTTTTCTGTCTTTCTTAAGGAGCATGTACATTTACTAAGTGGCACTTCACCTTCTTCAAACCCCATTCTTCTGTAACACCCAAAAATCCATCACCCTAAAATTCTCCCAATTTTACAAACTGCAACTTGTTCCAAACACAACAAACCGCCAGAGAGTCCTCTCGAATCCTACACCTCCCAATCAAACTCATTCGAATTCCACAACAATCAACATAAACTATTATCCATCCCTTCAACTTAGTCTCCTGCAAAAACATAAAATCTGGCTTTTGTTCCTTTACCAATCTACCCACCTCCTTCTTCTTCAATAACCCCCATAGTCCTCTCACATTAAAGGATAAGAATTTCATAAAAGATATATAATCACGCAACCCACTTGTCTCCTCTACCCTTAATCCCCTTTCAAATCACCTCCCCTACATCGCAATCCGTCCCTCAACTGCCAACAATCTCGATTGAACCTCTTCCTCGTTATCCTAGAAGTTAATCCCTAACCTCTTCCCCATACTAATCATCCTCATAACCTCAAATAAATTCAATTCCCTTTTAATTACCTGATTTCGATGCTCAATACATCCATTTGAAAGTGAGCTGCTGCCGACCCACTTTGCTTTTTCCTCTGTAGTGTGTTGAGCCTTCTTCCTTCATCCTTGGCGCTTCTTTGTTCTTCCTGTTATCCATAATGAATCTTCTTGGCATTAATGCCTTTGGGTTCATTTCCCTCCTTACCCATAATCCATTCATGTGAGCCACTGTTCTCTAACCCATCATCAGCCCCAAGCCCTTCTTGTCGGTCCACTAAGGGCCTAATGACATCAAACTTATTAGACCCAATATCTCCCCCCATGACAACACCCCTCTGGTACTCCATCTCATAACTACCATCACCCTCTATAATGTGGTTTCCCTGAATATTCAAATTTCCTACGTCTGTTGACAACGCCTCATCAATGTTATCGGCTTCTTCGCCACTAATTTCGGTATTGATCAATTCTAGATCCTCATCTCGATTCTGTGATGAAGAATATTCCGATTCAGTTTCCGACGTACTGCTCCTATCTCCAGTTGACAGCCACCAATCTGGATCTAATCGCCATTCTTCCTATGCCACTGTAATCTCATACAACTGCTCTTCCACCTTCAGCATCACAGTCTTGGATATCTTACCTGATTGAAAACAAAGAATCATAACTCTTCCATCACACAGGATTGATTTCTTCTTCGTATCATCGTGTATTACTATCACTTCCCCTATTGAAGCTGCAATTTTCTCAAGGTTAAATACCTTTTTTGGTCCCTCTACTATAGGAAAAAGCCCCTTTTTAGTCCTTATACTGAAAAAATCCCCTTTTTGATCCTTACTGTTCACAAAT